AACTATCCGCCGTCAAGCCACACATTTCGCTATTTGAGACGACCTCCTCTATCGGCGGAATTACACGTCTGAAGGTCGGAGGTGGCTGTTAGCGATACCCAACCACATGCGCTCAATCTGTACTGCTTTCCACAACGACCCGTAAAGCGCTCACGCCGGCGCTCTCAAAACGTACAACCGTCTACGTCAGGGTACTACTGGCGCGGCATGTACACATTTGTCCGCAAGTACATACGTGCTTGTACTGCATGCCAGCGACGTAAATTCCCACATCAACGCCCTGCCGTTACACTTCAGCCTCTGCCTTGTCCAGCGCGTCCGTTTGACCGCGTCGATATCGACTTATACGGACCACTTCCCATGTCGTCTTCTGGAAATAGGTGGATAATTGTTGGCGTGGACCACCTCACGCGTTACGCGGAGACGGCAGCACTACCCCAAGCAACCGCGAGGGAAGTTGCGTTTTTAATCTGGCGCAACCTTGTTCTTCGCCATGGTGCTCCCCGCGAACTTTTGAGCGACCGGGGGCGTGTTTTCTTGTCTGACGCCAATCAAGCATTGCTCGCTCAGTGCAACATGGTTCATCGCATGACGACAGCATATCACCCGCAGACGAATGGCCTCACAGAACGATTTAATCGCACTCTCAGTGATATGTTGACGACGTACACAGCTTCAGAACAGACCGATTGGGACACTGTCCTTCCATTCGTCATGTATGCGTATAACACTGCTACGCACGCGACAACAGGGTTCTCCCCTTTCTTTCTGTTGTACGAATGCGAACCATCGGGCACTATCCTCCCATACACGCCCTACTCCTCTGAGTGCACTGCAATTTCTGATGTTGCCAGGTACGCAGAAGATTGCAGACGATTGGCCCGTTCACTGACAACCGAGGACCAAGGCTACCAGAAGCTACGGCATGACACTGACCGACATCTCTCTACTTTCATGACTGGTGCTCTCGTTTGGCTCTAGATTCCACCCAGCACTCCTGGCCATTCGTCGAAATTACTGGCACGATACCATGGGCCTTACCGCATTCTCGCCCGTACGTCACCAGTCAATTATGAGATTGAGCCTTTGACACAGTCTCATGACTTACGCCGTCGTGGCCGAGAAATTGTGCATGTGAGTCGCCTGAAGCCGTATTACGACCCCGCTATAGTGACTACGCCTTAATCGCCAGGTTGGCTACGCTATTCACCAGGGGCCAATGTAGGGAACTATGCGAACGACGACCAAGCAGCAAAAAATGGCAAGCCACAGCGTTGGTGCACACGCGCGACCCGAGCTTGCGTTTGTTTTGTATTTTCGGCCTGTTGGCGTTCCTCGCTCTTCTGGCGTTCCTCAGCCTTCCTGTAGGTCTGTACAAAAATAAACTGCGTGACACACTTTACTCGTCTTCAATGATTGATTGTGCTATCTTCTGCAAGCTTTCCCGTATTGCTCGTGCACGCCATAGAAGTGTTTTGCAGCTATCTTTTCTCGCAATCGTTTAACTGCAACAGTGGTATCTGCAGTGATCTCGAGGGGTACTCGGAAGCTACGACACTACAATGCACTTTGCCAACTTCACGGCAACCTCACACGATGACCGCGCCGCCGCCTTTGACATGCACTGAGCAATCAACATTGCAGCAAGCTACCTTCGAAGCATCAAAACAAGCTATCGATATCAAGCTTAACAACAAAATTCGGCCACCGCCTCGCTTTCACATGAGAAGTTCCTGTACGAGCAGAGAACAAGCGAATCAAGAATTGAGGGTGCTACTGTGTTGCCGAAATCGTCACAATATTTTCTGGGCAACAAGCAATTTTTTCTGGTTTTTCAGAAACCTGCGACGCGATAGTGACGAATGACCCTTCATGACAGCAAATCCTATCGTCATCGCTCGAAAATCGCGTGCACATTTTCGGGCCTGAAAGTTTCGTATTTGCAGGAAGCGACTGTTGGTTGGAGCGGAAAGTTTCGTGACCTTCGCTCGCTGTGTGCTTGTCAGCTGCGATGTCTCTACATTTGCACCGTTTGTGAACCCCGCTGTGGTGCATAGATATTTAAAAAAGACTGGATTTTAAAAAGACTGGGTATGTGCCGCGCACAGATAGAAAGAGAAACTATACGGCGCGTGGCAGCAGGAAGAGATCCAATGGGGAAAGAGGTGTCAGGTGTTGGTTAGTGGGACTGCAGCGGATAAATGTAGGGCGGCGTTTATTACGCAGGGAAAAAAATCAAAATTTTCACTGCTGAAGTTGGGGGTGCATTTATTATGCGAGTGCGTTCATTACACGAATAAATATGGTAGATGCCACGTCAAGCTTCTACTAAATCGAGCTGTTCTCCAGGTCTCATGAGTTTATACAACATTTGTATACTGTTCTCTCCTCCGGCTTCCGTGTGGAATCACGTCTGCACTGGAGTACTTCCAGTGTCAGATGTTTTGGATCGTAAAAGGCCAAGCAGTTGTGGAGAAAATTATTGATGAATTCACCTAACCTAACCTAACCCAAACCAACCCAAACGAACCCCATCACCGACAAATCATGGACTGGCTAGCAAAGGCAGGAATCACGCTCAATAACGAGAAGGGCTTGTTCACCACTCCGAGTATCAAGTTCCTAGGTGTTACAGCGCGGAGGGCATTTTACCAGACCCAGACAAGGTTATGGCGATCCGAGCTATGCGCACTCCTGAAAATGTCGCAGGGGTCCGTTGCCTGCTAGGCCTCATGAATCACATATCGGGTGCTTTTTATCCCACGTTTTGGAGGTGACTGTGCTGATCCAATCATTGCTGCTCAAGACTTGGGAGCCCAGCACAACAGTCTGCCTTCTCTGAACTGAAGAAGCTACTGTGCTCAAATTTCTATAACTTGCTACAACACCGCATACAGGACCACGATCTCAGCTGACACCAGCTCCTACAGTCTCAAAGCAGTACTTGTCCCAGAACAGTTGTTTGATGAGTGCCGGGCCACTGCTTTAGCATCGCACTCCCGCATGCTGATGGAACACCGGTACAGCCAAACGGAAAAAAAGCTATGGCGGCCAGCTTGGTGGTGAAAAGGGTCACGGAATACGTTTGTGAACTTGAGTTCTTCCTCGAGACGAACCATCAATATTTAGTGGCTCTCTTGGGTTCCGTGGATGTTGAGCCTATTGCTACCACGGATCCAGTGGTTTCACTTGAAGCTCATGTATTACCAGTACCAAGTACTTTTTCTAAAATAAAATTTACTTTGTGCACAGAATGTTTCGGGAAAGAAGTCAGATAGGACAGAGTGGACAGAGCTTTTAGAATGCAATACCAACCAGCCCAAGTAACCACTCTTTTACAAATACTCTATGTACTGGAGAAGCTATTGGCAACTGTGATATGCTTTCATTCGCATTGCTGCATTCTTCTCTATCCATACATGTGAATCAAATGAAGTGCTTTGCGCCAAGGGGTTGTCAGCTCTTTCCCAGACATTGTCTCATCGCAGATCAAGCCCCTTCATCGGGCCCAAGTCAGCAACGGCGAGTGCAGTCTGCTGCTTCAGCACTGTGCCAACAGCTGGCCTCGGCAGTCTCACTTGCCTCTGCATGTGAAGATGAGACTTCAGTGTCTGGGGAGGGACTGTTTCTGAGAGTTTCTTGCATTGTCATGCTATCTGCTCTTCAGTGCAGCACACTTGAGAGGTCCTCCATGACGGGCATCAAGGCATCAACTAGTGGAAAGCTGTAGCTCGAGAGTAAGTCTGGTGTCTGAATATTAACACCTAGATAACTGTCTCCTGTGCAGTGCTTAGAGCCCACTCCAACTCGGCCCTGAGAAGAGGTGGGCATCAATCTTTTTATTTTAACAGCCAAAACAACGTCCGTCTGGGGGATAACTAGTTACGTTTCCCAGAAGTCATGAGACTATGTTTGATTACAAAACCTGCTGTTATCAACGTCGTCCAAAGTGTTTTCGCATGCCATAGGATTCTGAGACTGGTGAGCAGCAGTAAAAGTTCTCAATTTGCGGCAAGAAAGCTCTTTGTCTTTGCCGAGTCTTTCTGCTACGTCACCGGCCCCCTTATTTTCCACAGTCGAACGGGATGTTGGAGGGATGGGAGTCAAAGACCTGCTGCTACCTATGGAAACAGATGATTCCTATGTGAAGCTTCTGGCATACCACAGGGGTAAATGGTGGCAGTCCGGCTCATCTGGTCATGGATGGGCGCCTACAGACCTGGGTACCGAAGAGGTGGCACCTGCAGGAGCCAGCCTCAGTCCAACTCACTCAGCATGACGAAGATATCCGGAGGCGCCAAGAATCGGACTTAGACTGTAGACATGCAGCTCGCACTTGTAGCCGCTTTGGCCCAGAGAGCAGGTCTGGGTACAGGGCATCAACTTCCCCACGAAAGTCTTAAGGCCAGATCAACATCTGTGCTCCTACATGGAGGTGGCTCATATGGGTCTACTCCAGTGCAACCGGATGCACTTAGAAACAAGGACGAGACATCCTGCGGAACACACTGCTAGCCCACCGAGAACTTATGTGCGGCCCAAACCCAGATCTCTACACCGAGACGAGCTGGAGACAAACAGGGATGACAAGGAGCTGACCAAGCACCCCGAGACCAGCGACTGTGCTGTCTCAGAAAAAGCACCTTCACTATGGAGGCACCTCGGGGTTATACTTCTATGCCACATGTTGAAGGATCTGCAGGCTGAAAAGGCTTTACTTATGAACATTGTTTTATTTCGGACTGGAGTTTCGGTACATTGGTGTTTTTTTCTTTGGGTTTATCATAGGGTGGATGTAGTGTACAATAGTACCACTGAATGGCATTGCAGCATGAACTGATCTATATAAAGGCTGCCAATAAACATGACGTCACTTGTCCGCCTGGAGACTCAGCTGTTGTGTTTCTCACTCGCACAATGAGCTTGACAGTTGTGCCTTGTTGCCCTCTGCTGCTTGCGTAGCCCACATTCCTTTGAGCCTATTGCGGTTGCTGTTTCAGTGTCCTCAGCTGAAAAGGGTGGCCCACTTCGCAAGCCGGGGCTTCCTCTCGGAGCTGCTGGCCTACGTGCAGGTGCTGTTTGGCACCAGGGCCTCCGAGATACCTGCACCTGACCGGGTCCACTTTGCCAATGTGGCTGCCCTGGGATTTGTGCAGCAGGTGCTGAGCAAACGCCATGCCACGGCCGACCGCGACGCCGTCCTCCAGGCGTTCAGGCACGTCGCCTCTCTCCCTCTTATTGCACTTTGTTAACTACACTTTGATTCCGTGACTTGATCAGATGTATGTGGGCATTTTGCACTGCAAATGATTTAGTCTTTACTACTTCCAAAAATGTAGTCTACATGTGTGTCTCATACATTGTAAACCGATGTAAGTACTGCTACCATGTTTATCAATACTGCTAACAAGAACTGTATCGTCATTGTCACAATTTAATTCAGCCAGTGTAACTTAAATGCATCGCTGAACAGCTTTGTTCTATTTCTCATTCTCTGATTTAGTGTTCTTTTAATTTTTAGTGAATTTTTCTCAGACATTTTTCTGAATGCGTCTCCATATGTGGTACCTTCAGGCCATCAAGGTTATCATAAGTGAAGGCTTCTGGTCATTAATTGTACATGAAAGAAATAAATACCTCATCATTTTTTTGTTTCTATTTTTTTTATTCACAGTGCATGGATGTTTCTGTGAGACGTGCAGAGATATCATAATGGTTTTGAGTTGGTTTCGAAACTTTATTGAGGTCCTGCAAGGCGCGCGTCAGCGTGCAGCGAGCGACTCCCACGTCGGGACCGTTAGGCCAAGCCTATCGGCCGCTCCGCGGGCCTGCTGGACGGCCCAAAGTTGGTCGTCCAGGAGGGAGCTGCGTAGAGCCGCCTCCCACCTGACCGATGTAGTGTTGGGGTTAGTGTACATTGCCTTGCACTCCCAGAGCATGTGCGCCAGCGTGGATACATCCCCACATGCGGGGCAAGCGTCATTGGGAAACACGTCAGGATAAATAGCATGAAGGGATCTCAGGTTAGGGTACGTGTCGGTCTGCAGTAGTCTGAGCGTAAGGGCCTGTGGCCTATTAAGATTTGGATGAGGGAGTGGATATAGTCTCCGCGCGAGGTAAAAATATTTTGTTATTTCGTTGTACAAGCAGGCGGGTCCCTGTTTTTCGCAACCTCGTTGGCCCCGAATCGTTGCCCGGAACCCGCGCGGTCGGTTAGTGCGCGCGCGGCCTCGTGGGCAGACTCGTTGAGGTTGGGGGGAGCGCCTTGGACCTGTCCAACATGTGCCGGAAACCAAATCAGTACGTGGTGCTTGATGCCGTCGCGGCCACCACTTTGGAGCACGCGCAGGGCTTTCTTGGAGATTACACCGCGCTCGAAAGCGCGAATAGCTGACCTAGAGTCACTATAGATGACCTCCCTTTCACCTTCCAGGATGGCCAGGGCGATGGCCACTTGCTCGGCAATCGTCGGATCGTCAGTGTGAACCGATGCGCGGTTGGTGATTTGTTGTTTGGAGTCGACGACGACTGCGGAGAAGGCGCGGCTCCCACGGTACGCTGCCGCGTCGACAAAGCTGACGCCGTGCTCCTCACTGTGAATCTGCTTGAGAAGAGTGGCAGCTCTAGCCCGTCGCCTACCACGATTGTGCTCGGGATGGACATTCCTCGATATCGGTGCCACGGTGATGAGGTCACGAATCTCACGGGGCACCTGTCTCATCTTCTCGTCCACTTCAGCCGGAGAGTGACCGAGCTCTCGGAGTATATGTCTGCCGGTCTGGGAGCTCGAAAGGCGCGCGAGCTGGGCCCGCTCCTGCGCTTCGGCAATCTCCTCCAACGTATTGTGTACTCCGAGCTGGAGCAGGCGCTCGGTGCGCGTCCTGATCGGGATACCGAGGGCCCGCTTGGTAATCTTTCTGAGCAAGACGTTGATCTTGTCACGCTCGGCACGCTGCCAATTGTGCATGGCCGCGACATACGAAAAGTGGCAGAGCACAAAGGCATTGACCAGGTGGATTAGGTTGTCTTCCTTGAGGCCTTGGTAGCGGTTGGCCACCCGCCGAACCAGCCGAACCGCGTTATCCGTCTTGGCGGCGAGCTTGAGTATAGTCTTGCCGTTGGAACCATTGGACTCGATGGTCATGCCGAGGACCCGAATGGAGTCGACTCTGGGTATTGCGCTGCCATCTCCGGTGTACAGCTTGATATCACTCTTCGAGATCGGCTGCCAGTTTTCGGGCTTGGGCCCTCGCCTAGTGGGTTGGTAAAGGAGGAGCTTGGACTTGCTTGGGGAACACCTCAGGCCTGTGGGACGGAGGTAATCTTCCGTGGTGTCTATGGCCTCCTGCAGGGAGCGCTCGACTTGCCCGTCGCTGCCACCTGTGCACCAAATGGTAATATCGTCCGCGTAAATTGTGTGGTTAATGCCTTCGATACATGAGAGCCTCTTGGACAACCCGACCATGACAAGATTGAACAGGGTGGGCGATATCACTGACCCTTGTGGCGTGCCGCGCGATCCCAGCTCTATCTCCTCGGAGACAAGGTCTCCCACACTGAGGGTGGCTCTCCTACGGGTCAAGAACGATTTGACATATTTGTAGAATCTGACTCCAAGGCCGAGCTCAGCAATCGACCGCAACACGAAAGAGTGAGTAACATTGTCGAAGGCTTTCTCTAAGTCGAGGCCGAGAATGGCCCGCATGTCTCGAGTGTTGCAGTCGATGACTTGGTGCTTGAGCAGCTTCATAGCGTCTTGCGTCGAAAGCTTGGCCCGAAAACCAATCATGGTGTATGGGTAGAGCCCATTGTCTTCCTGGTACCGAGTCAACCTATTGAGGACCACATGCTCGGCTACCTTTCCCACGCAGGATGTGAGCGAAATGGGGCGCATGTTGTCCAAGTTGGGTGACCTCCCCGGCTTAGGAATGAGCACGGTGCGTGCGACCTTCCACGGGTCGGGGACCTCGCCGCTCTTCCATGCCTCGTTGATGACCTCGGTGAGGTAGTCGATTGACCGGTCGTCCAGGTTGCGCAGGGTCTTATTAGTTATGCCGTCGGGGCCCGCGGCAGACCTCCCATTGAGCCCGTAAAGCGCCTGCCGAACCTCTTCGTGGCATATCTCGGCGTCCAGTTCAGTGTTGGCCGGTCCTGAGTACTCGGGGTACGTTGTTGCGGGGTTCGAGTCGACAGGGAGGTACTTTTGCACCAGCTGCTTCAAAACCTCCTCTTCTGAAGAGGACTGCTTGGCTTCGTGCATGGCTCGCGCTAGTACGTTCCGCTGGTTAGTTTTGGTGTTAGTCTCGCTGAGCAGGTGCTTGAGCAGGTTCCATGTCTTGCCATTACGCATCTGGCCATCTACCGAGTTGCACACCTCTTCCCACTGCTGCTTGCTGAGGACGCGACAGTGCTCCTCGATGGTCTTGTTTAGGTCGGAGATTTTCTTGCACAACCTGCGATTGAGGCGCTGGCCTTTCCAGCGGGCGAGAAGTGACTGCTTGGCCTCGAGCAGGTGGGCAAGGCGGCTATCCATTTTTTCAACCGGAAGGTCAGTACTAATATTCTTCGTGGTACTTATGACGTCCTCTCTGAGCTGGCTAATCCACTCCTGTAGGCTTGGCCTGGTTGCAGGTAGGGGTCGGTCGTTGCGGACTTTGCGAAACTGGTCCCAGTTTGTCCAAGAAAACTCCCGTGCCCTCTTTCGGACCACTAAGAACTGCGTCACCAGGACGTAATGGTCGCTACCTAAGTCAATCTTTGAGTTGGCCCACTGTACATCGGGGAGATTCTTGACGAAGGTCAAGTCGGGAGTGGAGTCTCTGCAGGATGAGGTGCCCAACCGAGTTGGAAAGGCCTTGTCGGTGATTAGAGTCAGGTCCATGTCTGTCGCGTTCTGCCACAGTTCCGCGCCCTTGCTGGTATTGTACGGGTAGCCCCAAGTGTGGTGCGGAGCATTAAAATCGCCCGCCACAACCAGGGGGTTGGGACATGCCAAGTTGACGGCCTTCTTTATGAGGGCCCTGAAGCGCTGCCGTCGGTCCTTAGGGCTACTGTACACGTTGAGAAAAAAGATGCTGCTTCGGTCCGAGCTGCGCGGCAGAATCTCGGTCATGACATATTCGGCGCTGCTGGTGGCCATTTTGAGGTCGTGAGAGATGTGTGTGAGCTTGTTACTGACCAAGGTGCAGACGCCCCGGCCATCAGAATAACGCGAGACGGGCTTGTAACCAGTCAGTGTGACGTTTGGAGTTAATGTTTCCTGAAGCAGAATGACGAGGGGTTTTTTGCTAGAGCATCGAATGTACTGCTGCAAGGACGCCTTTTTACTAGGGAAGCCCTTGCAGTTCCATTGCCAAATAAGAAACGTCTCACTTGGCTTGGCCATCTTGGTGCTTTTGTGGGCTGGTGCTGCCCTCAGATTGGCTAAGAATAGCGTGGACGATGGGGCCCGTAGCGCCGGGCTGGGATTGTACGACGGCGGTTGAGGTCAGAGCTGGTTTCACTACGCTTTCGAGAAACGACTCTACCTTGGATACTCGGTCGTTTTGCGCGGCCAGGGTGATCTGCAGTTGGGCGAAATTCTCCCCGAGCTTATTGATGCTTTCACTGAGCGCGGATAGCGTGTCTCGAAGCTCAGACCTGACTCGAATCGCTACACCTTCCTGTTCGTAGGCGACGGCCCTCTTCTTGGGAGCACTTTGACTCTCACTGCTGCTGTCGCCGGCTTTAGTGCTGTGCACCTCCATGGGTAGGGGCATTGTATCGGCGACGCATGCGGCGGCGGGTTGCGGTGGTGGGTTTCTCGCGTTCTTAATCTCAGCAATTTCGGACATGAGCCTGTTTATGGTTTCTTTCATCGCTGCATTCTCGCGTTCAGCTGGGAAATCTCGCGTGCGCTCTCCGCATGCTCTGGGAGTGACCCCGACAGTACCTCAGCTGGCCCTCCTCGGACCATGTCGGTCCAGGTTGTAGAGCCCGACTTCTTGCTTCTCGCTGACACCCCGCTAGGCTGCTGTTGACGCCCGGTAGACCTGGATCGAGACCTGGAGCGGCTCCCAGACTTGTAGCGCCGGGCTCCTCCTCGGGACCGGGAACGGATCCTGGACCGGGAACGGCCCCTGGAATGGGACCGAGAACGTCGCCTGGAACGGCCCCCGGAACCACGTGACTGCTGGAAGTCCTGTCCATCCGTGGGGGGTGATGGTGGTGTCGTGGCGTG